CCTGTCAAACATCTACATTACAGGTGTGTTTGTAAGGCCATTAGTTTATAAGCCCTCCTAAAACCCCATGCAAAGGTATATAAGCCCTGGGCTATTTAGCCAGCAGTTTTATACTGTTATGCAGTATTAATAGCATTATTTTGAGTACAGTACATGTATACAGATGTGAACATTACATTTTGCGGCGAAAAGTCACTAAAATGTGAATAAAACTGTGAATCTCACAGTTTGTTGAATGTTTTTGAGGTGCACCAAACTAGAAAGCCAGATGTCAATGCCCAACAATTATTACTGTGGAAAAAAAACTGTTTGATTCATTGGGTTCCCAGGCTTAATATTATGCCAGCTATTCACTTCTAAACATAAGATTCCCTGAGGTTAAAAACCACCTTCCTCCCCCTCCCCTCCCTTGTCAGTGAGGTAGTATTTAATTTTTTTACAGCAATACATCAGCATCAGTGTCATCCAAAAAAAAAATGTAGATGTAACTGTTTCTTGTGCATTCCAATGGCTTAGTGCTACATCAACATCAACCCTTTACACTCTTACAGTGACCAGCATCATATTTCTTCTTCTAATAATACTGCTAGATCATTTATTAAGATCATGAGATTAAAGGAAAAAATCAGGAGAAGCTTTGATTGTTAAAGAAAAATTCTCCTTGTCAGTACCTTCTGTTCCAATAAGATCAAAGGGGCTATTTTTTTTTTTTATTAAAATTCCTGGTCGGAGTAGAAGGCATGATTATGACATTTACTGCACCATACTTAAGCAGCTGAAAAAAGTCATAAGATTATTTAATTAAAGTTATCATCTGTGGAAAGCCCATTTACCTCAATGTTCTTTTAAGTTTATTTTTTTAACTTTTTCCATCTTTTTCCTAATCCATCTGCTCTTTTCATTCCATGTCAGTGAGTTGCAGTCACCAATGGCCTGAAATACCTACAAACAAAAACAAAGCCTTGTTGTAAAATCAAGGATATAGAGGAACATTGCTAACTGAACCCTTAATAGCCCAACATCATTATGCATATTCTCCATACTGTTCTTCTTACCTCTCCTTAGCTTCTCACAGGGAGAGTTTGTTTCCAAAATCCAAAGCTTGTTTAACTTGCATGCTGATAATTTCCTGTATTCTCAAGATGGTAATGTTTGATTCAGAGGTCATATGATAAGGAGAAATTGATAGCAGTCACAGTTAAGGGTTAGAGGGATAAAATAGTTTGCTAAATCACTCAGCCAAAAAACACTATAGGGTTGGGAGCACTCAGAGTTCTAGGTCATTCACTGAATACTGTAACATCAACTTTCACAAATACAGGGTGTTTCAAAGGTTTGTATATACATCTCTATATAGAAATAAATTAAAAAAACTGGCAGCACCCACAGGCAAGATGAAGTAAATACTATGTTCTGATTGGCTACCTAATTTTGGATGATGATACAAATGGTATTTAACCCTTTCCTTCCAGAGTCAGGCTTTGACTTCATTTTATATGGTTGTAACTTCTTTGGATAAAACACTTGTGCATCAACATTTCAATGTAAGCTGTCAAGCAGCATTTTCATGTTACAATGTTTGTTTTTGTTGATTCTGCAAATTGAAATTAAAAGATTTTTATTCAATTTTGACTTAACGCTCTTGGAAGTGAAGGGCTTAATTTCAGTTGAATAATTTATTAATTTTTTAATTATAATCTTGTTGTAACTGAATTAATAAATAATTGTAATCAAGTAATCCTAAAGTGCAGACTTAGCAGCTGTTTGTCTGTTTTTGCTGGGCTGGCAGCTTGTCAAACGTGACTAAAATAATCCTGACACCTTTAGCTTACTGATCGATTTATTTCATTGAAAAGCGTAAGCTGGCATGCAAGTGACCGATTTGATTCTCAGTTTTAATCACGTACCGAATATCGCAATTTGTACTCACCACAAACTTTCAAAATCGTAGCTTTATTTTATGGGCGCTCGACCCTTGTTTGGGCAAGAGTACCATAATTATAACCCCATACACTGATTATGCATTCAGACTAGTAGACTAGTAGTTTTGTCCTGAAAGACAAAGAAGTGGATTCTTTTTGTACCAGTTGACATGTCTACTGTTGTCCCCTTTTTTAACTCCACGGCGCCAACGCTGCTCACGTCTTCTCATTAGACAACAGTAAAACCGATCGTTAGAGATGTTGCATTAAGTAAAACATTCAAGAAAAGAAATAACTTAACGCACGAGCGATCAACGGATGAAAAGTACATTCAAAGATAAGCGCCATAATGGAGTTTCTTCGTTTCCGATCACGGGTATGATCACGTTGATATTTTGGGAATTTTCATTGGCTAGTAAAGAGAATCCACTGGCTTGCCTGATTGCAGTCTCAAGGGAAGCGCGCATAATTATTTGTCCTCTCTAACCCCGGTTTTCAAACTCCCGATAGTCTGCTTCTGGACGGTGGACCAATCTTGGATACATGTTTTGACGATGATATGAATAATGATGTGAACTCACTCTGAGTAGAAATAATCGAGAAGAATAGAACGTACTACAAATGCACGATTTTTGGCCAAAAGTTGTCGGGGAAACAAAGACTCGAAACCCACTTGAGTTGTGTTTACGGTAAAGGTGAGAATTATAACACAAGCCAATCACAACTTTGAACGTGATTACAAACGTGTTTTACCCTCATCATTACAACAGATGGATACCACTTCAGAAAGTATAAGAGATACCTAGATGATCACAATGTACTAGGGCTCAAATCAACAAAGTTTGACCGCAACAAGCGTTCAGCAACACCTTTGAACACAGCCATCTTGATTCCTCACTCTTTCGTTTCCACTGAACTAGTAGTGGTGCTAACAGTCAGTCTAGTGCGTCTCATAACGAAGAAACATTTGCACAAGAGAAGGGAGCGACTATGGTAGTCGTTGAAATTCTCCCTTACAAATGGATGTGCACATTCTGAAGCGTTCCTCAGTTTATGATTATGATTATGTGTGATGGTTTTGGTACATCTGTGGATATGAGACATTTTGCATCACAATAAAAACTTTTAGGATCATGGAATCCAAGAGGCCTTTAAGGTTAGAAAGTAAATCTGTAATATGAGTACATTGCATTAATTGACACTTAATTAACTGCTGCTTCATGAAAAAATTGCATATTAATGTTAAGATTTACTAAAACTTACAGTTTGAATAATAAATCTCATGATAAACATGTACATGTATGTACATCTCTAGGTACATTTTGTATGGCATACCTTTTATTGAACCAAAGTTGTAAGCCTCTATAATTATTCCTTGTCCTAAAACCTTTGTATTCCAGGTATAGAGAATGTATTGGAATTATTTGGACCTCAAGTTTATTTAAATTACCTCAAATTTAATTCCCAAGAATTCTCAAGAATTCCACCCTTAACTTATAGGTAGTTTGTAAAGCTGAGAATTCCTAGTACTTCTGAGGAATTCCAAGTCCTCACAAAACTGGATCCTTCCTTTCCCAGAAATTCCAAGTCATTCCAAGCTTTTCAAATCAGAGCTTATTTGCGTAGTTGGTAATTTCTGAGAATTTCCAGGAATTCCCAGGAAAGTGGGAATTTGGTTTGCAAGGGCTGTTACATTTCTTAATACTATAAAAGCCCAGAGATAAGCTGCACCCACAGACAAACTGCACCCAGAATTTAGCAGCTCAAATTTTGGAAAAAAAGTTTTTTGAAAGAAATGAATAGAAATCCAAAGTCGACTCCTGAGAAGTCTTCTTCATCCACTGTTAATCAAACATAAACTCAATATTAACATTGCTACGGAAAATACTTCAAAGTTTTACCCACAATTTTCGCACTTTAATATAATGAACACTGTTTCCACCAACTTTGACATGATTGGTCTTTTTCTGGTATTTGTTGACAGGAATTTCTTCATTCAACACAATTTTTCCATAGATTTTTGCATTACAACAGGAACATAAGCAGAACATTAGAGCTTAGTAACCAAGCATTCGATCGGATGCAAAAATGGAAATCGGCGTCAACATTCGTGACACCTTTTTCAAATGTTCTTCCAGATAAGCCGCATCCCCAATTTCTAGCGACAATTTTTGGAAAAAAGGGCGGCTTATATGTGGGCTTTTACGATATGTGTTGGTGCATTGCTAGATTTTCATCTGCAGCTCAAATTTGTTATTTATTCAAAATTATGATTAGATATACCTCTAAATTTTGCCTATTAACATGTGGCTTTGTAGCTAACAATTGGTAGTAGACTGCCCAACTAGTATTGTGGAGGCAGGGTTTCAAGTCCTTTCGAAGCCTGAATGTTTTCTGGTCTCTTTTCTGCAGTTGCTTTAAAATAAATTGCAGTTTACTTGTGAGGATCATTTCTTGGCTTGAATTTCATCTGCAGGTCCAATGAAATTTCTTTCATTAACAAATGGTAAACACCACAGCGTACACTATTGAGTTATGGATGCACACGGAGGTTGCTAAGCACGAAAGAAGCGTAAGAGTCGCTCGCGGTGATAGCCTAGAGCGACTCTAGCTTCTTGAGTGCTTAGCAAACCTCCCAAGTGCATCATAACTCAATAGTGTACGCTGTGGTGTTTACCATTTGTTTTATAACATAACATTGATACATTGTAGCTAAAGAGTTACCTTTTATTTAACAAATCTTACGAGACCAGAAAAAACAAGTGCGAGCGGAAAAATAGTCTTTGCATTTTCTCATGTCAGCAGCGTACACCCATGGGCAAATGGGGGACGCTAAATTGACCAATAAGAGGGCGCGCTTTACTTTGGTTAAGTTATAATTAAAATTGTCATATTTATTTTTATACTTACACTTGTCTTGTTACTGTTATTATATATTATTATAATTGTGTAATAACTGAACAACTTGTTAATGTCACCATTTGTTGAAAAGGATATGAAAAATTGAATTCATTTCACGTATGCATTTTTTTTCTTTTTGTTAGGTTTTGTTTCATTTGTTTTGTTTTTCTTTTATAGCAAATGACACAATATCAGTTGATGAATGATAGATGATTTGGCAGCACTTGTGGGTGATTTCTTTGAAGACCCACCTTTGGAATCATTCAAAAAGGCTTCAAGTAAGTTTAACATCTCAGAAAAGATCATTTATTTCATTAATTTCCTTTCAAAATTGTGGAAGTCCTTAACATGGTCAGGAGCATTAAGCCTCGAATAACTCTTGCTGAAGTGTTAATGAAGCTATAATAACTGAACAACTTGTTCATCAGTCTCCATTTGCTGATAAGGAAATGAGAAATTAAATTCGTTACCCTCATGTGTGTTTTTGCTTTTTTTTTAATTTAGTTTTGTTGTTTCGTTTTGTTTTGTTGTTTTGTTTTGTTTTGTTTTTTATAGCAGATGACTCAATGCCAGTTGATGAAAAATAGATGATTTGGCTGCACTTGTCTGGGATTTCAACAAGGAAGAGCCTTTGGAACCATTTAAAAAGGGTTCAGAAAAGATCATTATTTTATTAACTTAACTCCTTTCAAAATTAGGGATATCCGTAAAATGGTCATGAGCATCAAGCCTCAAATAACTCTTGTTGAAGTGGTGATGAAAGACTATACACGTAGTCCACTGTAGAAATGATTTTTAGTTGTAGCAGTGGAAAGCAATTAAAAAAAAAAACTATAACAAGCATTAATCACCTAACTTACTGACTCACATGTATGCCTCAGCTGCAACTGAATTAATTAACAAAATTGGGTCCTCCACTTATTTCTTTCCAAGTTTACTATTGACAACATCATCTGTACGTATGATGCACGATCCTCGCAGTAGAGAGCGCTATTTATGCAATAGCGAAAATCAGACCTGAAAAAAAAAAACAATCAGGCCTGTACGGGATTCGAACCACTGACCTCTGCGATACTAGTGCAGCGCTCTACCAATTGAGCTAACAACTGGGAGCAGGCCGTTATGTTGATTCGTAATAAACCCGTGATGATAAATCAGATACAATGAATATATGACCTTCATATATTCATAGTAACATCATCTGTGTTTATCTCTGACAGTAGTGTTTTGTTTATTCTTTTCCTTGGTCAACCTGACCAAAAAATGATCATGCTTCCCATACAATTTTTGATTTGAGCTTACTTACACCTTTCAAGCAGTCTGATTATTGTTATATGACTTTTCCCTGCATTTTCTAAATGTGAAAATGAAGGAGCCTCTCTGAATTGTTTTGACCGTTAAACCCCTGAGGGGGACTGGGCTCTAATTTCTCCTTACTGTATCACCGTGAAATCAAAAGTAAAGGTCCAATGAGAATCAAGGAAATTCTAATCACCAATTCAACAAGCTCCTGATTGGCAAACAAATTCTCCTTGTCAGTATCATAGGAAATGTAGAGAGAACAGTGAGGAGAATATCATGAATACTAATGCTGGATTGTAAAGGGGTCATTGACAGTTAGGCTTCTTGAATAATCACTTCAGATTCACTCAGAGCCCTGGGGTCTCTTGAATAGTTTATAGTTTTATGAGTGACGTAGTTTGTGTGGCTTCTTTTAATTTCGCACCAAGGTCATGCTACCTTGTCATTTGTGTTCATTTTCATACTGTGAAGGTTACATTATTTAACGTGTTTTTTTTTTTTGTTTTGTTTTGGTATTCTTTTATCTTACAATGTCTTTACGTCTTTCTTATCCCCTACAGTCGGACTCAATGCTCGTAAAATGGATGCAAGCTGTTTTGAAAACCTTAAAAGCAGCTGTGGCGGTCCGTGGAAGTGTAACATGCCCTATTTCTCCATATGTCCATTGGAGGGAGAATCGTCTGAAAAACTAATTTAAAACAGCTCCTAAAACGTTCTAGCTTTTTGCTTCCTGCGGAAGACGCCTCGTCCCATCACATGGGGGCTGATGACGTCGCCTTTCAGTAAATGAAGAAGCTAAAGATGAAACTCACCTTTGAGGTTTTAACTGCACCACGTGATCAGCTAGGCCTGGATGGAAGAAAAACGGTTTAATGCCCTCTTTAGCAGACATTGTTCATGCAAAGCTGAACATACAATTTGAATTGTAAATTGGCGAGTTTGTGGTGGTTTTTGTTAATGAGGAGACACGTATAAATATATCGAGTTGAGTCTGTGTTTTTTACTTTCTAAATTTCTGTCTTTCCGAATCAATCAATTGAACTGTTTTCGTCAGCATTATCACCTAACTGATTTTAAAAGGACATGTGGTCTTGCTCTAATTACGGTACATACTTTATAACGTCAGTACAGGAGCTGTGATGTTACATCATGCATTCAGATATAATTGCTAAGAAAAGTCATTACATCCCAGTGAAAGTTTAAAGAGCTTTGAAATAAAGTAAACAACCGAAACCGAGCAATTTTTTTCGCGAATAAAGGTAAAGAAAAACTTCTGAATACAAAGGGAGATGGAATGGTATTAGACGTGCAATGCGTGCTAAATTCCAACTTTCATCCAGTTTCTCACCCTTTTTAAACGGAATTTAAACTAAGAAATGCGTCTCAGCCATTTGGATTCAAATGACGTCCATAAGTCATTACTTGTATATAATGTTTCGTCCTGGCGTAGAAATGCGGCCAATCACGAAATCAAATCTTGGGAAGAAGACCTCATTTTCCGCGGTTAGTTGGACAGCAGTTCCTAGAAATGTTTACTTGGCAGTCCGTGCCGTCTCGAATTTTCCCGCCGAAAAAAATAACGGGTGACCATTGCACGGCTTGGAAAATGTTTTCCTTGAGCGAACACATTCAGTATCGGCAAACAATATAACAAGATGCATTTCTATCAGCTTATTATTTCGATTGCGTTTCTCAACAGACCATCGTTGACAAAGCAGGTCACCAAACATGGAAATTAGGCCCAAAGTTGCCTAATTCACGACACAAAAACTCGGTTCCTTTAGGGGGAACCGGCGTTGAGTTGCAGGAGCTTACATAGTGAAGTTCCACCTCAGCCAACCGCTTTTAGGAGATTGTTTTACCTTGAAAGCTGGACTGCCATCTGTTAGGTCTTACCACATGCAGACTGTGGAAAGCGAAGAGGAAGAAAATAAGCTCAGCGACATACAGCCTGCGTCAAAAGTTGAGAAGATCATACAAGTTTGCCGACTGATGTTGATGGAGGTACTAGAACTTAAAACCAAATGCGGAGATTAAAAATGTTTAAGGGCAAGGATATTATTTGTTACTTTATAAATAAGTAGGGTGCTTTGGTAAACCTTAGTTATGTGATCCCGAATTTTTCCTTAACATGCGAAACATTTGTTGTGCAAGAATTTTCACAGTACACCGCGACGTCGTACCAATCTTTTTCAAGCTCAGCTTTAAAATACAGGGATATTTATGCTGCAGTGATCACCACGAGGGAGATACAGTAACATGGAGTTAATATTGGTGAGCTGTGCTCTGGTTTATCTGAAAGCTTTTGTGTCAGAGTCAAGGCCAGGTCATGTGTAATGCTCTTGGGCAAGGCACTTTACTTTAAAATACCTCTACCCAACCAGGAGTACAAATGGGTGGTGGCGTTACTGTCAAGGTGACCTCATGCAGGCCCAAGATGACATGCATCCCATTCGTTCAGATCAGCTCAATGCAGAGTAGAATCAACAAGTATTTTCCTGAAGTTGAGCGGGTGGCATATATCTTCGTGGGAGCTTTGCAGGATTTGTGGCCTTTATCCTACATCTCAGTCATTGCTGAACCGCGAGACGATCTCACCCGTGGTCGTCTCATATTGGCCCCAGATTCGGAAAGGCACATTCCCCATAAAGTTTTTTTTGGCTGGGATTGGTTGGTGATCGGAGGTGTGTCTGGAGGCGTAAGAGTTTGAATAATAGCGTGAGCACAAGTGTGAATTTTTTCGCGCTGCTCTCCCCGCGCGTGGATCACACTTCGTGCCCGCATCGCGATTGTCTCCTTTCACCCGTAAACGTAAAATAATACGCCGGTTTTGCTAGCTGCGTATTATCTACTACATGAGAAGTAATTATCTATTGTACAGGAAAAACGTATTCAGCTTTTTTTTTTCGGTCTGAGAAATTGAAAAAAATTGAGCTGTGTTTTGCAAAGACTTTGTTAATGAATACTGGGAGAAATGAAATGCTCCATTGACATTTTTGACAAGTTCTTCTCAAAAATTTCATTATGATTGCAAAATCCTTTGTCATTCAAACACTAACAAAACACGTGGAGGTAAAAGAATGATTGACTACTCAGTTTACTACAGTTTTGAATATTTAATTCCAGGGATAACGGCCACTTGCTAGTATTTGTAAATCGGGTCGACTATTTACAATCATAACAAACTAAACTGCAAAATGTGTTATCATGAAAAAAGGGTAAAAATTTCAATAACCAAAAATAATATATTTGAGAGCTAGATTAATTTAAGATTATGCTGGGTGGAAAAAAGCATTCCTGTGGCTAGTAACTAACACGGGTTGAACTTTAATTTTAGTTCTTCTTCTTCGAAACTGTTACATATTCAACTTACCGGTTAAATTTTTTAAGCCTTCTAGTACCTGTCGATTAAAAAAAAACAGGCAAGAAACACTGTGGATGTAAAAGCTCCCTCAAATGAATAAAAAATAAAACAGCCTGTATATACATTTGTCGTTTACTTACGCATAGATCAAATACCAGCTTTAAACGTCTGTTTGGGCTCTCTAAATATATTCATGTCTGTTAAACGATTTGGTTCTACTCCGTCCAGGAGTTCTAATTGTAGTTGACAAGTCTAAGTTGCTTATGCTTATGGCAGAGCTTCTCTCATTCTCTTCAGTTCTGACTTTGTTGTATATAAATTATGTTCTTTCATCGTGGGTCGCCCATTGAAGATGGCACTGTACTATTCTGGGCAAGATTCACAGTTTACCAATATTTCTATTGTATAAGAAGTAAAGAGCTACACCGAAAGCCTTGATGCCACTTAAACCAGGAAAAACCCAGCTGAGACAAGCAATTCCACTAAAAATTTCTCATTTAGTTCCCTTGCGTTCACTTAAACACACACGTGCGTGCATACGCAAGCTATAGGTCCATGTTCAAATTACGTCAACAAGCCTGATTTTAGGTTTGAGTTTAAGTTTAATTCTTCGCCACAGGAATGGTAGGAGAAAGGAACAGAACTTTCGTTGCAATTGACACCTAACCTCTTTTTTACCCACCCATCCCACCCCGGGGAGGACATCCATCACACAGTAATCTCGTGTGTGGGAAATTAACGTCTCCTATCCCAACCCTGCAGGAGACGGGACCTACATTTATCGTCCCTATCCGAGAAGACTAGAAAGTCTAGTCATTTTCAGATATTATTAGAAAGGCATCACTTTCTTCTCAGTTAATTAAAGACCCTGAGTGTTGGTCCGGCCGGATTTGAACTAACGACCTCCCGCTCAACAGTCCGGCGGTCTACCAATTGAGCTAACCGCGAGGCCGTCAATGTGAAACGTTTCGTTAAGCTGATCAATCATGAAAAAGTTAGGTTAACGATAATATGTTTCGCGTTAGGTTCTTCGGTAGGTGAGAAAGTGAAACAAAATATTTCAATGATATCTTCACTTCATGGTTTACCACAATCTTCGGGCAAAAAGAAACATTGTGAACATCCCCAACGATCTTCATCTTACTTGATTTCGCGAGTACTTTTCTTTTTACATTTTCTCGGGTACTTAATTTTGCGAATTTGGCGAGACAATACTTCGCGGGGTTTTATTATCGCTATTTCAATTGGCAAATGTAAAAATTGCATTTCTCGACTCAAGTGGTTCAACTTAATTTTATTTTGCAAAATGTCTTAGCACTTTATGAAGACGATTGCTCGATTCTCTGCTTCGTATGCCAAATATTTGCAAATTAACCTCATTTGACAACAGAAGACAGAAAATAGAAGTTGCCAGTAAGAGCAGCTAATCATTTGTGTATACACATATCCTGTATGAATCCTGTATATATGTTTTTTTTTTTTTCAAATTTTGATAACTTTTATTCTATGATTTGAATTCTCCACAATGGATTAGATTTCGCTTGTTTATATTCTGCGAGGTTTTTTCATGCGCGGGTCTTTACTTTAGCAATTTATTTGCAATCGCGAAAAACGCGAAGCTAAAGATCCCCGAAATTAAGTGCCAATAAGGTAATCCCGCTTATAAATAATAAATGGTGCTTAGGTGCCTATTTTCTTTAATACAGATTAAGATGTTACCCTTATAACAATTTTCAGCAAATGCACTCCATTTAGACACTGACTCTTGCAATCAATTTTCTGTTTACGAAGTTGCTGGTATGTAATTTTCGATGTACAGAGGAGGATGAAGTATCGGCGAGTGTTAAAACTTCCTTTCCAAAATAAAAAGTAAGGCACTTGGCATGCTAATAAGAAAAGCTAAAGACACTTCTGAAAACTCGTATAAGAAAGGTAATATGACTAGAAAGACTAGAGGCTGACTTCATTTTGTGATTGATATTCCCCTCTGAAAATTTACTCACGCAATTATTTTGCCACAATTAGTAGGAGCACTGTATTTCTCTTCTTTTTCTTCCAGTTCACCTCTTTGATTAAACACGCCGAAAAACTCCTCTTCAGGAGCTATGTGAGAGAGATATATGTCGAGCCTTTACGTTAGTAACTTACGTATAACCCTACCAGCTTGAAACATTTGTTAGGGTTTTATTGATGTATATGGAAATAAAATATTTGTTGTGTTCGTAAAAGCGACTATTGCATAAAAAACAATTTAGCGGAGAAAGGAAACAATCCCCATTCAGGTAATCTTGCAGTTTTTTGTGTTATAACTCTGTTATTAGAAATGATTCAAGTAGAGTTTTGCTGCACTGCTGGAGAAAAATAAGAGGAAAACAGACAAAAGCAAAAAAGACTAGGATAGAAAAGCGAAACGTTATGCGTCGTTGTCTGAGCAACTGACTTCTATGTAAAATTGTGACGACGACGAGTTTGCAATTTTTCTGTTTAAATTGTTACTCAGCATTCGACGCAACTTAATTACAAAGAAAGCTACCTAGACCTCTAGAATTGAGATAGGTGTGACTGAACGTTTTCTTCTATCACCATGAGCGTCAAAACGATGGTAAAATACTATTCCATGAGAATATGTTGGATGTTGCTAGAAGTCTTTAATTACAAGAAATGCCTAGAGA